TGCAGACTGTATTTCACATAAGAAAAGGCATTAAATGCTAAAGATCTGTTGAAATGAAAGTGTAGTACAGAAGTGAAAAGTGCATTTAAGACAATCGGAAGAAAATCCTTGAAAAGGGGGACACCCGGGGGGACAGATTTCGCGGGGGACAAATCTTTATATGTGGGATTGTCCCCCTTATGGGGGGACGTCTGGCAACCCTGTTCTGAAACGTATAATTATCCGCTGAATGTCATTTTAGAGGTTTTTTCGTTTCATAGCTGCCCATTGATAAACGAATTACTTTCATCAGTTCTACTTTTTTGTTATGGATGTATGTAGTCAATTAAAAATTTGATTTATTGTCTAACTCATTTTCTTCATTAGTATCAATACGAGTTGTTGTTGTGATATTACAGCATCTAATCGAGTAGGTATCATTATTTCAACTGAATTTCTATTAACAGCAGCATTCATTGTAAAGGTTGTTGCTTATGAATTTGGTTGCCACGTAGTATACCGCGTCTAATAATGAAAACAAATCGCAATTATCGCTGTTGTATCTTAATTATTCTGCAAAAGAACTGCATGTGTTCCATTCATTTGGATACCTTATTCAGTCATTAATTGTCAAGATACATCTTATCGACTATCGGCACCAAATACAACTTTGAATGGAACAGCATTTATTTCAAGTGCTAAGGTAATGTCTATTAATTAAATAGCAGGCTAAAGTTCAAAAAGTGATGTTGTTTTCAATGCGCTGTATTAAATCAAGTTTAATAACAGTGACCGATATAGCATATTTACGAATTTGACATGAAACACAAATTTAAAACATTTCTATAATATTCATTTTGATTCATTTAATGTAAGCTCTGTTTAATGCAGTATAATAAGTTAAATTTAATTTTACGTTACAATTTAGAACTAGATGTATTATCGATTTTAAACTACATATTTTACATCTATCATTGAATTTGAAATCGATACCGATTGTTTTGTCAATTTTGTGTTTTAATGCATAAATAGTTTAGTTCTAAAATATGACAGGTCGACACCGGTGCAAATAGACAAAATACTGTACAAATGTAACACGTAAGTCACCCGTGAGATCTCCATGTGCTAATATATCATCACTTACATGAACCCATGTGGATGAAAGTATTGACTTCTATAGAATAGATCCTGGACATGAAGTGTTTTTACAACAAAACTTCTATATTCGTTCTGATTAACTAAATATTTTCACTCTGTCAAAACACGGTCTATGTCTAAAAAAAAAATTTGTAAATATTGATAATTTCCGACGTCAGTACTTTATGTATAGTTCTCCAATTTTCCATTTTTAAATAAAATATTTCGCACGCCTTCTGTACATAAAATACGCAATATTTTTTTCTTTTTTGTTCAACAAGAGATTATTAAACAGGTAATGTGATTATATATTGGCGTACGTATAACTTTTCTTCTCTTATTCTATAATAAATCCAATTACTCAATTATTGTTGTTTTTTTATGGATAAAAGAGATTCTTGTATTCAATTAAAAAAAAAAGTCAAAAACAATTCTGTTTTTGTTTTTATTACAGATACCATTTTTAGCGTACAAATAGTTAAGAAAATATCACAAATAAAACGAGAAAAAAAAACCGGAAAGAAATAATATATACATAAATAGATTCAACAATGTCGAAAAGGTCACATCTTGTTTATAATAATTATTATCACAAAAAATTTATCTACCATGATAGACTTTCAATATTCTTTTCATATTCATGACATCCTTCGTAAAATTGTGCATACCAATTTCTCCATGATTGCAAATATTTATCCGCTTCCATTTTCATATTATAATTAAGTTTAGCACCAAATATTTTATTATTCCAAATGTTCATATCCGAAAACAATTGTTTTACTTCGCCCATTAGAGCCAATGCTGATAACCAATAGGGAATAGCATAATTTGTATAAATTCGATGCATTACACGTTGATTAAATTTTTCCATCGGTGTTACAGTTTGAAAGAAAGTGGCAAGAAAATATGGTGACCAAAGAAATAAATAGACTAGTGCTGGTCCTAACTGAAGGCCCGTAGCATTAAATAAAAACATTTCATATTTACTGAAAAATCTCAGATAGCAATCGAGTGATATAACATTGATATATGGACGATTGTCATCTGTTATATATGTATCAAGTATATACGATTTATATTTTTGTACCTGAGGATGTTCATGTTTCATTATTTCGCGCAGATTAGAATTCGTGGCACATTGAGTGATCATTGACCAACGAAATTTAACAAATGGAACATAATCTAATATAGACTCATGTAAATAATCAAAATGACGAATATCAGCACCTAAAAATAAATTTTTTCAATTCATAAGGCGTATCGTTTTTAAACCATGCAGGTATCTGATCAGCACCGAATTTAACGTGAAATTAGTGAGTGAATTTTTAAAATTCGTAAAAGTCGATTTTTAAATTAGATTTTAATGAAATGCAAACATTGATTTCACGTTAAATTCGATGGTGAACAACTTTTGTTCTCACATTTTTCTTCCAAAATGGTTCTATCGGGCGCGCAAAACCTTCGACAAGTCTTTCCTAAATTACTTTTTGCACTAAAAATGCATCAGATAGGTCAAACTCAAATTTCTCGATCAAACTTCATTCGGTATCGACGAAACTGTTCTTGTAGGTACATCTCAACATGACCTGTCGAGTGAGATCAAATTTAGCTTTTTTCATTACAAAATAAAAATTTTGTAAAATTTTCAAAAAATTAAGGAAAATACGTGATAAAACTTAAAAGATTATTTTCTCAAAAACTACAGTTCCTGGAATCGAAAAAATTTTTGAATATAGGTTTCAGAGTGTGCTCTACAAAGTGGTTGGAAAAAAATGGATGAATAGACACCTCACTTAAAGAAAAAGTTATAGTACTCTAAATTTACCGTTCTCTGGTATTTCTTGTACATGACAATTGACATAGTTGATGGATACTCCTCTTACTGGAACACAAATACATTGACCTTAACAATTATATTACAAATATTGAGTTCAATTATGTTACCCTCCATATTCTCTTTTTTGACGGCGCTTTCTAGATCAAATGGATCATACAATGGTTTTTCTCTTAAATCATCATTTGAATGATACCATGCCAAGATAGCTCCATTTACTTCTCTACACACATACTTTTTAATCTTCACTTCTTTCTGATCTAACACCTTTTCTAAAAATATACAAAACAACATTATATTAAGACGTTAATAAACATTATATGAGATAAATATCATACTTAGACCATTCGTTTCAACTTTTTATCTCGTCATAAGTTAATGCAATTTGTCTGAAGCTGTATAACACGTTAGATTCTAATGTATTATAACGCATTTTAGTTTTTTTATTCTCATACAATTTGTTAGAAATAAAGATGTTAAAAGACGTTAAATGTTTTATCTTATCATAGTGTAACGTCATAAAAACTATTTTTGATTATTTATTGCGTTGTAACGCATTATATTATGTCTATGATGATACAACTCATTAAAAGCTAATGTATTATACTTAAATAGGATTTCTCTAATAAGTTATAGCTCATTAAACGTCTCCTGATATGTTAATTACGCATGACAGTGCGATAGACCTTATCTAATGCATTTAAATACTATGAAATTTCAAATTTCTTTTTTGTCGTTCTAACCGCCTACATACCATCTATCGTAGTGTAAAGAGTTAATATCTAACATATTTGCAATGTATTATTTTTCTCTATCCAAATGTACTGAGATAAGTGCAGTGTAATACGTTAGATGCTAACATGTATAACAAGTTAGACAATATATAATACGAAAATACATACTTTTCTAGTAAAGAAGGCATTCTATTTAAACTCTGCCACGATCAATTGACTTTTCTCGAGAAGCTGGTCTGGAAAACGTTATGCTAACTAAAGAAGACATATACGTTAGTGATTTGAGGCGTAGGACATCATGATCTGCCAGCTATCCTAACCGCTTTCGCTTAAAGCGCTGTTACGCGCTATAACGTCGTAGATGTTATGAAAGTATAATTCATTAACCTGTAACAAGTTACAAATTAATGCGATAGAACTTTAGTGATAGTTTGTAATGATATACAAATACTAACACGAAATATTAACACAAAAATACATTATAACGTTACAATTTCAGTTTTTTGACATTTTTTATCCGGGTAACATGTTATGATAATGTGTCATAATACATCGAATACATTTTTTCAAAATTCATTTCGATATGTTTAACGCATTATAATACAATGGGAAAGATATTTATTGCTCTCAAATACATTGCCGGATTTGCTTATGAAATATTAGTCTTTATATATCTTACCCAAATATTTTCCTGCTATATCAGGATGTGGTCGACATGTTTGTATATCAATGTATGAATATTGATCAACTGTTCTTCTTGTACCGTCTTTCGACAGGATACAATAACCGGTCTCCCCATCGAATGTCCATCCGTGAAACGGACACTCAATACATGTGTCATATTTGACATGTCCACCAATACCCAAATTTGCTCCCATATGAGCACAATACGCTTCTAATACATACGGTTGACCATTTTTACCGCGATACAACACAATGTCACGGCCACAGTAAGATATCGATTGAACATCACCCACTTTTAAATCGCAAGCGTTAAATAACCAATACCATCCTAAACAAAAACTACATGTTACTGTTTTTTGCTATTTTTCTATTTCATATAATCTGATCTGCTCAATTTTCAAGCTACTACATACTAGTCGACTCTGTCACTCACCATTTGGGAAGAACGGTGGACATTTTCCTCTTGATCTATTTCCTTTTGTGACTTTTTGTTTTTGTTCAAATAAAAAAAATTTGAATATTCTGTAATACTTATAATACAATAGTGGTGGTATCAGTAAAACTAACGTAAAAAGTAATTTTGTTAAATCAATTGATTGTGTTATTGATTTGGCTACCCACCATACAAGAGACGTTATCATTATTTATTATCTAAAATCCAATTATACATTATTAATTTGTTTTGTTGTTGTTATTTGAATAGATAATTGAAAAAGCGATTCATATTTTGTTCACTTATTGACTTTACATTAACAAGAAAAAAATATATCATAACATACTACTACGATAAGTGTACTATGAGATGCACATTTAAAATGAAATAAAGTTAATAGCTCAGTAACTTATAAATTTTAATTTGCTCTCTCGAGTTAAATGCTGTCTAAAATTAAAACTCTTGTAGAATATGGTCTTATTCAGAAAGTCCTATTCGGGTGAGTAAAAAAACATCGTAAAGATGATTCGAAGATTTGAAAGCTGATGAATAGTTGAAGTGTTTTAGTATTATTTCCAAACAGAAGAAAGTTAAAATATAGTTTTTATCTGTTGAATTTTGGTAATATAGGAAAACCTTTATACTACATGAAAATGTGTGAAAAATTGACAAAAAATAAGTTTATTTCACACGCTAGATTTTTAGTGATTTCCTCGAACTTCAAAATTCCACACGAAATCAAATACAGATTAGTTTAGATGAACTACAGTTTACAAGGCAAAGATATGAAAGTACTATCCATTTCAAAATACAAGACAGTCCATTGTTTTTTGAATAACTAGAGAATGAAATGAGCTAGAGAGCTGAAGTTTTCAGATTATGAAAGAGAACACCTGGGGACATATGTCTATGCTAAAATGAATCTTATTCAACAGGTGTACTACCGTGTATCCTTCGAAGCAAAAAGTCCGAACCTATCATTCTAAAAATCTACATAGCGTAGAGATATTGCTCTGTGTATAGAGAGTGAGGGTGAGATTTTCAAAAATCGCTCAGTTTCACCTACTGTACAGTTTAAAAAGGTTAACATTTCTTTTCCTACTGAGATTTCACGTGAAGCTCGTCAATAATCTTCTGAAAAATCTTCCAAAGGTACTATTCAGTTTTCTGCTCTACTATCCCTGTAACATAATGAAACACTACAAATTTAGTTTATTTTGAAAATTTGAAGCAATTTGGTTGAGAAATGAAGGCACTATAAGGTTTTTATTTTAGTATGGTCACAGTGAAAACATCGTATTTTCTGAAAAATGCATCATTTGTGTTTTCCTTAATCCCGACAACAAAACAAACATTGTCATAGTAGTCAGCATGTCCGATAAACTTTTACCATGCCCTTTTGAGGAGGTTCCAGGAGCTCATGTTTAGCTAACAGATAGGTCCTCGGAGATCACCTCTAGTGGCAGAACCAGGTTAGATGAAAGTGTGGGACTGGCGCCAGGTCAGTGGCGGGCCGAAGAGCGCCACTTGCGTTGGCTACTGCCACCGCAGTTGCCAGCGCAAGTGGCGCTCTTCGGCCCGCCACTGCGCCAGGTTGTAGAGTGGCATCTGCTCTGTACCCACATGTATTGAGAGTAATATCTCTATGCTATGTAGATTTTTAGAATGATAGGCTCGGACTTTTTGTTTCGAAGGGTACACGGTAGTACACCTGTTGAATAAGATTCATTTTAACATAGGCATATGTCTCGAGGTGTTCCCTTTTTATAATCTGAAAACTTCAGCTCTCCAGCTCATTTCGTTCTCCAGTTATTCAAAAACAATGGACTGCCTTGTATTTTAAAATGGATGTAACATGATTGGCACGATTTAGTACCTTCTTGGTATTTTTTTGGTTTTCTCCTCTCACTCAAACTCCCTTAAGTACATTTTTTCACACCATTTCACTCTCTACAAAGAACATTTTTTCTATATACTGTAAAAATACAAAATATGAGGGAAACACTACGATGATTTCATCTTAGCAGTTTTTTTAACTCAAAACATAACGAAAAAAAATTATTTTGTTGCATGTAACAAAGTAGAATTGAAATGTATGTTCTAATGCTTCGAAATGTTGTCTTTTTTTAAATGTATTATGAATTCGCGTTAAACATGTTCTCCGGCACAAAACACGATTTTAGCAAAATTCACCAGAAAAGGGGAAAATATGCCGTTTTTTGCATCGGCGCACAAAAAAAATGGAGCTACTAACTTTTTTCTGTTCAAATGTGATAGAAGAATTATTCTGCTTTAAGATAAAACAGACTTGCTTTCAAATGTTTGATTTTGTTTCTGTTATAAATATTTTCTTAACTGCCCAGAGCTACACCTTGAAAACGCTGATTTTTGATAACGTGGTTAAAAGAAACAAAAGCTCTGCTTCAATCGATTGTGATTATAAAGAGTTTTGAATATAATCAGCTGATAAAGTTTTTTAAGAACTACAAAAAGGCTAAGTTTTTCTTTTTTTATATCAGAAAGTATTAAGACTTAAAATTAAAAAAACTGTGTTTTGGGTTAGAAAATTGTCGAAATTGAATTAGTCCTCGCAGCATTTCCTCTATATTTTTATATTTTTATACTATATAGAAAAATGTTTTATATGTTCTTTATACAGAATGAAATGATGCATCTTTTGCCAAAAAAATGAACTTAAGACGATTTGAGAGAGATAAGAATACCAGAAGAAATAGAAAGAGATCAGTTTCTTCTGTCCTACCTGTTACTTATTTCTACTAAAACTGGTAGTGTGTAGACTGGTGAAAAAAAGGGATAAAATCAGAAAATGCACGATGGATTCTATATACAAAAATTTGAACAAGATCAAAGGCGACCCAGGAGACGGCAAAATGAAAGTGAAAAGGCCACCAAAGAAAACCGGGAACTTTTGTGCCTTTTTTTATACAACTTTTTGTATTCAGGATCCATTCTGCAATTTTTCCGAAATCAAATATATTACCGTCCAAAAAAAGGTCTCATGGTTTGTGTATTTTTTTCTTGTATTGAAAATTGTACAATTGATTGGATGAAACTATTAGAGAAATTCAAGTATAAATTAACATTTCAATATTGCTGTTTCTTTGTTTTTGTATTCGTCTTATCACCGCCAAGGTAATTAATATCGGATGCTGTACAGAGCGCTAATTTTGTAGACATCTTACCAACGACACGAAAAATTTAAAACAGGAAAATCATTTCCTAAAATCCTTCATTCAATGCAAGAGACATGCACAAAAATCAGAGATGCTAATGCGTTTGTATTTTGTGTTAAATCATCGATTCAAAATACACTTGCCTTGATGGTGCTGTACATAGAATTAAATTTAATTTAATTGTATGTGTGTGTAGGTATATATATATATATACGATAAGTATCCATGTGTTTAAATGGAAAAATTAAACTTTTTTATTCTAATAAAAGATTTTTTTCATGTCTTCTAATTTTATTTTTCTTCTTTTCTTTCTTCTCGAGATGTTTGGAACAAACAGTGAAACTATTTTGTGTCGATATGGTTATATATCATAAAAAAGATTTTTTGCTGTAAAAAGAAAAATCACAATTTTTTACCTGTTTATTTCAGAAAAAAACAACTGTAAAAGAAATCATTTTTCTTTCTCATTTACTCTTACTTTCTCTAGCAGAATATTTATATATTTTTTTGGGTAAAGATTTTTTAATTCTTATGTGCATGCTCAGTAATATTAACAGTCAACGCCTAGTGATTAAGATTTATTAAAATTGTTGAATAAAATTTCAAAATATGAAACAAGTTTCAATAACAATCGAGAAAACATAGACAATTTTTATATTGCAATCAAAATGTTTTTACATAAATCACGCAATGTCACTAATTTCAAAATAAAATATATTTCAAACACAATTATCGATAGAGTAAAACATAAGTAAATGTAATATTTTTACTCACTATTGTAAACATGATATGGTAGAATTTGAACACAATTGTTTAGCAAAGTAAAACATTTATCCAACTGTTTCATTTTATACTTTTATCTGATATAGTTCTAGTTTTATATATCTTAAAAGACATTTTATTGAAGAAAAAAAAACAATTTCAAAAATATAAGATTTTTTAACTCACTAAATAACTAGACTAGTCTGTGTAGAGATATTTAAAACTGGTCATCATTTAATGGCTGTCGATACTTTTACGAAAAAAATCTTTGATCAAACGGTTTTGAGAAAGACCTTGTTAACTCTGGTTCCTCAAAAGACATAGAGCTCAAATAAAAACAAATCATCATCATTAAACGTGTACTTACTATAACTGGTGGAAAAATCATATTTTTCTGACATACGATTGAGACAGCATAAAAAAGTGGACTGGGGTATCCGAGCAAACTGGGCACTGCTCTACGTACTCTCATATGCTATAATCTTTATTCCGGTACATTCTTGGTTTGATGTTTCCCGTAAAGGAAAGATTTATTGTAATAAATATGCTTTCTAGTTCAGGTGCACTTTTTATGACATTAAACAATTAAATAACGAATCTGAAAATAAATTTTGTTAAATATTCCAAATTAACCGTTTGCGCATAATTTTGCTCTGTATCATTTTCATGCCGAACATCTTCGTTGAACAAATATATATATCTAAAATACGAGAAACTTTTGCAACAGTTGAACGTCAAACATCTATGTTAAGCTCCTTTTTCCATTGAAGTATCTCGTTCATAGTCAAAGCTACGGCTCAGAACAACAAAATGTGGATTAATTTATTTTATCACGTATTTAGCCATGAATAATGTATTCTTTTTTACAGTTTGATTGCTTTTTAACTTAACCTTTTCTTGTCCTATGGCACCTATAGCGGCTATTTTATAAAAATTTAGTTCGCTTGAACTATTAGACATTTAGAAACAGATTTTATATCAGCTTAAAGCCTATCTATTGTGAACTTCAAATCAACCATCTGAGTGTAATCTTTATCAACAACAATAGTATGTGTGACGGATTTGGTTCAAATTCTTCCTGTTGTAAATGCATGAACACCACATATTATAGGCCATAAGATTGATGCTGTTGAGCGAGTTGTCCTTCAGAACCGTCAGGTTTAGCCAAAGACAAGAAAGGGTTAAACTGGTTTAACACCTATGATACTTAATAAGAGGAAAATATGCCTCGATCTGAAATCAAACTAAGCATGCGATTCTTAAGTCAAATGATCTACCACTGCATTATAGACAATTTGATTCTCCATTGATACGTATTTTTTATATTCATACATATGAAGTATATGAATGTAACCCAATCCAAAAAGACAACATATTGAAATGAATACTTAAATTGGCAAGTATATCGACAATATTGGTATCGAAATAATGTTTGAATATTGATACGTAAATTAGTATAACGATTTTAATGGCAAAAGATTTTTAAATTCCACATGTCGTCTTTGACCAATCACTTTTCTGTGTGCTTCATACTGCGGGAGAACACAATGCTTCAATCTTTGTTCGTACAGTTGAGTAGTATCATTAGCGCGACATAACAGATGTTCGCGAATTTGTTGAGATAAATCTTTTAACGAACATCTATAATTATAGTAAAACTTGAACGCACAAGATGCTACCACTGTCGAATGCGATACAAATGGAGGGCGAGCTTGCCATCACTGTCAACAGCAAATCGTATCTTCCAGTAAGACTATCCTCTCACGGTATAGTCGGATCACTATATAGTAGTTGAAATTTGGTACGGTCATCTAATATTTGAAGTATTGTCTTACTGTATTCCGATCTGTCCATAAGTACTACAACTTTAACTTTGTCGAGTAGTGTGACTATGATTGGACATGAAAGAATTTATTGTCCCAAAGATGGTTGACAAAGTAAAAAAAATTTTTCTAACTGCATAAGTAATGAGCTGATCGTCTAATAGTGCAGAATATCGGGAAAAGAGGGCACGTGTATGTTATGCAATGACAAATATAACATGAAAGGATGATATGATAAATAAATAGGAAAAGAATATTTGGAAGTACTTGTGGAAGTTAGTTTTGAACGCAGTTTACATCAGACTTCCCTCTCTCTTTCAACAAGAATGTGCACATCTAAGCTATTTGATTTCATCAAAAGAAAATATTGTACGATCTCAGTTTCTCAATGTATCAAATATTTCTTTCACACCCCAATTCACTGTTCTTCCTAATGGATGTCTGACTATGTGCCTTGTCATTGGACTCAAGAAGTCGCTTGTCGTCGGTGTTGTACCACTTGCTGTCGGAAGCGGAGGAGTGTCACCATCTTTGTCTCTTCTTTCATCAACACCTCCTTCTAAATCTAACAGTTGCATCATTATTGACTGCTCAGGTGTTTGTCGAACACGACGATACATGTAAAGTGTCGAAACAAGAAATAGAATCAACAATGCACAACAAGAGACACATGCCAAGAGAATTGTGCTCCATTGTTTTTTACCATCAGTTCCCTTTGTTGGATGGAGACCATTATCTGTCGACTCATCAGTAACTATGTTCTGTTGTACAGAGCGCCCAGTCTCAATTATTGGTTGAGTCCAAAGAGTTATTAATATTTCGCCAGTGAATATCGTTGATATTGTTGAATTTGTTGGTAAAAACGGAGACGTATTATTTTTATGCATTGAAATGTCGAAATGCCAACCTAGAAATAGTGTAAGATTCCCCATGAGTTTCCTGATAGGATCCGAGACATATCATACCAGTATTCTACTAGGATTTGGCTTCAATTTCTTAGGATCCTAACAAAATCCTACAGAATCCTAATGAAATCAGATATATCGGAAAGTCACCGGATTTTCTAAGATTCTGTTAGGATCCTAAACAAACTTCAGCGAAATTCTGGTAGGATCCTAGCATTTTAGGATCGTGCTAGGAAGTTATTAGGTGTATCCTAAATGCTAGGATCCTGTAAGATCCTAGTAAGAAATAGACAGGAAGTGCGTAGGATTTTGTCTAGGGTTACGTGTTCAAAAACAAAACAGTGAAATATATTTAAATTAATTCGACAAATATGTTACCAGAAAGTATTGCATGTACATCGATTGTGTTTACCTGGTATCACTGTTTGCCGATATTTCAATAACTTTATTAGTGCAATTATCCAAAAGATTACTGACGCTACGCCGCTAATGAAAAACCCTAGTTTTCTATAGCGGAATATAATTCGAGTAACAGCACGAGGTTTATCTCGAAAAGAATTCCATTTTGTCTAAACAAAGAATATCCTAATATTATCTCGTATTAAGATCGCTTACTAACCCTGTATGTTTCCTTGTGATCAAAAAGTGTCTGCTTAATTTTCTTCCATTCGATTTCTTCTTTCTCCGTTTCTTGAATTTGTTTTCGTAATCGTGACATTTCCCGATACAACAAATCTAATGGAATTCCATTATTTTTCAGTACTACTAATGCTTTTTCGCTTTTTTCCAGTTCATCAATATATTTTAATTTGATTTTCTCTAATGTTCGAAGTTTGTCATTTGTTGACCACCACATATCCTGCCATGTTCTCTTATCACCAAATTTCTTTTCTACTAATTGTCGATTCCGTGTAGCAGCTGCAGCTGGTAGCTGAAAGACGAGATTCTCGATGCCTTTATCATTTGTTTCAGTTGTGAGTTCAAGATAAAAAATTATCATGAAAAAGGACAAGATCATGGTTTCTTTTCGTCGAATTTTAAAAAATGGAAAATAATTAAAGAAAAATAATTAGTAAATAACTTTCAAAAATTTTATTAACCGTGGATAAAAAATAGCGCTAAAATTCAATTTGGTAGTGTTTGATGTGTCTGAGGTGCAGAGAGAAATAACAGAGCAACGCTTCACTAAAAATGAAACATCTGAATATACCTCGTACCATCGTCTCAAGCAATACGTCAATGATTCGATTATAATTTAGCTATATCGTAGATAAATTTTAAACCATTATTATCGACATTGTGGCAGCGATTGAGAATAGACTCTCAAAGCCCTCCTCAAGAAAAAAATCAATTAATACAGTGATTTGTAGGTGAACGGAGAGATAACTGAAGATAAAATAGAAATTCTGAAATATGCCGAGGAAGTGCGGATAATAATACCACACGGCGAAATCAAGTCCAATTTGAACCTCTCACCTTTAAGCAGGCACGGGAGAGTCCGAGCCAACTCTGAGTCCTTAAAAAGTCAAGCCGAGTCCGAGTCCAAGTCCTTGACATTAAGGACCGAGTCCGTTTCGAGTCCGGTAATTTTTTAGATTCTTTCTTTGATGGGTGTGGTTTATTTCTCTTTTATAATTTACTGAGTCCTGGATAGATATTTGATTTGTCGAAAATAAGATTACTTTGCATGTCTATTTCCTACACAAAATTTTCACCTTCTTGTGAAACAGAAGGTGTTATTATTTCGCTTTTCATTTTTCTCTGCTCATTTGTGTTGAAAGTTGAATAGATCGGAATCGAAATACAAAAACTCAAGTCCGAGCTCGAGTCCTTTAAAAAGATCTCCAGTCCGAGTCCGCCAAAAAATCTTTCAGTCCGGACTCGGACTCGCCTATGTCTGCCTTTAAGTAATGTGAACAGATCTTCTTCAATACCTGGTCGTATTGTTTTATTCTATAGTGCACAATAATACGCGATATTACGGTAATTTATACAAAATAGAAATCAAAAGATTACTGAGAAATATTTATGAACAGGATAACACGAAAATAAGAACGTACAGCAGTTCTGCTTTAAACAAATGATATAAATAAAATAGTGGGTGAGAATAACTCCGTGAGTTTTCTAACAAATTCTTCATACTGTTGTTCAGTTACTAGTTTTCATTCAAGTCATTCTTTAATGCCCGGATAGCTCAGTCGGTAGAGCGTGTGGCTTTTAACCACAAGGCCCGGGGTTCGAGCCCCCGTTCGGGCGTTAGGTTTTTTGTCTTGTTATGAAGAGGAATTCTTTACATTTGAATGTAGGATGGATACAAATTAAACGTTGGGTTGAATTTTTACTTTATGTAACATTGACTGCATGTTGTGAGCACTGTGATTTCCAGACGTCCTACATTCTACTATAATTTTGTCCTATGCCTTTGAAATTTCCTCAGAATTTCTTAGAATTCCAAATATATGATTCTAATGGATGCAATCATATAACAATACTGAATAAGAGTCCAATCGGTTCCGGATCAGATATCAATGTCCTTTCTGATGGATCGAACACTGCTATTTTTAATAGTTTTTACGAGAAATGATAGGATCCCGTTTCGCCAAACTCTATGGGTAAAGGATTCTGTTATACGCTTCTTTGACACTGATAACTGTATTATCACTAGGTACAATACTATCGAATATCTGTTCATTTGATTAAGAATTGCAACTTGTTGTGAGTTCTTCTTTAAAAGCTGTTATGTGGATCACATTGTTGCAATATTTATTCCAGATATGTGAGTCATTCAAAATAGGCAAAAGCTATAGAAATTGATCGTTGCGTGTAGAAAAGAATAAAAAATAAACCAAGAACACGAATGTAACGTCTATAGTTGTATATAGCTATATAATAGTCAGTGAGAGGAAGAAAAACAAAAAAAGTTTTGACGTCGTCCAAGGTCTTTCACATATAAAAAATACAAAAAATACGGAAAAAAATAATTCATTTACCAAGAAGTTAAAGTTATTCATTTTATAAAGACAAACAATATATTATACTATTAATATTTTCTGAAGATGTCGGATGATGAAGTTCAATCGTTTTCTGCTGATTATGCTAAAAGTGATCTAGCAAAATGTCACGGTAAAAATTGCGCTAATGAAATATCTAAAGGCACACTCCGTCTAGCTCGTCTGATTCCTAATCCATTTATTCCGACGTCTAGTACTCACGGTGATCAGCTGATGCCTCAGTATTATCATGTACAATGTTTCATGAATTATTTACGATCGGGTAGTGAGAAGAAGAAACGTGTCGCAAATGTGAGCAACGACATCCAAGGTTTTGAAGAATTAAAGAAAAAAGATCAAGATTATTTAAAAAGACTATTCGCTAGCGAACAACAGGTAAACAAGAAACTAGAATCATCTACAGCCCAAACCACATATCTCGAAGCACACACTGACGATGATGACAAATTTTGGCAAATAACAATCGATAACAAAACAACAAAAACAAAATACGGTATATTGGGTGAAGATGATTCGGAGGCTATTATTCTAATTAAAGATTTTTCAACGAACCAAGAAGCCCAGAAATATGTTGATAAAAAAGTACAAGAGAAAGTGAAGCGTGGATATACAATTGAAAAACAAACAGGCACAGTTGGAACGAAACGTAAACGAGGCGCATCAAATGTGAGAAAAACACCAGACAAACGTCAAAAACTAGCTAATACAAAGACAACAGCAACTAATACGAAAAAACGTTCATCTAATAAAACTTAATATTTGATTATCTTCGTGTGAGATAGATACTCATCCACCGGACCTAACTGTATTCGTCTTCGATGGATATCGTTCGCGTATGTCATTTTTTAGATAGATTTGCTGTACAAATAGCTGTGAAAATATTATAGAAGGAAAACTCTGCAGGCTGCAATATTAGTAGCACCGTATTTCGAGGTACATACATCCTTGCACGTTTATGTCGTATACCATTCAGTTCATATGGAATATAGCGACAAAAAAGACTATTATTACCATAGGCTTCAACACGTTACTGCTGAAACTATTGTGTAAGAGATCATGACAAATGGAAAGAATATTTATTGCAAAGACGCTCATACCCATTTCTATTTGGTTGTCATTAGAAACAATTTGAGAACCTCAGCCTTTATAGTTTTGTCAAAAACTATTTTAGCAATAACTGTACATTAATCCCATTGATTTATATTTAAACAGTACGTTCTATATTTTCATTAATTGTTCATAATAAAGGACATAAACTTCGACCTTCTACTATGTGGTCTGACGACATGAAGCACTGAGATAAGAGCCAACAAAAGCGAAATGCACTTAAAACGTGATCCTCATTTTTGTGGAATTTTTTCCTATTCTTCAATCGCTTATTAACTGTTATATCACAATGTATCGGTAAAAATACTCTCTTTTTCTTTGGTAATCTTAAGCACGTGAGTGGCCATGTGATGCATTTTTCGTTATTTACTCTGATATTCTTTCTTTCCTTTCTGTAGTCTGTAGACTATACACTAGATTCTTTTAAACAGAGAAAAATCCTTTTCAGAGCATTTAGTGCGCGAACAGTTACAAGATTTATCTATCTTGCCTCAAGTAAACTTTTCTAAAGCAAGGTAGGTTTACACTAGTCAGTAAGCATAGTAAGATAGAAACGGTCCGTTTCTTGGAGTTATGACTTTTAAACTTTCTGTGAAACTGCAGATCAGCATGAAGAGGAGTGACGCTGAATAGCAGTGACAATACCAAAGTCTTCGTTTCTTGGAAAGGGGTAGAGCGAAAGTATTTGATGATTCTATCACTATATGAAATGAGACTTTAATGGAAGAAAAAAGATTATGTTAAAGTAATTCTCTATTTTCTGTAAAATATTATGAGCTTATTCTGATATGTCACTCTAGTAGAGCCCTGCATTAGATGGACATGGACAGTTTTTTTAAATCTGTCCATGGACAAAAAAAAATTGTCCATGCAGGCCTCAAGTAAACTTTTCTAAAGCAAGGTAGGTTTACACTAGTCAGTAAGCATAGTAAGATAGAAACGGTCCGTTTCTTGGAGTTATGACTTTTAAACTTTCTGTGAAACTGCAGATCAGCATGAAGAGGAGTGACGCTGAATAGCAGTGACAATACCAAAGTCTTCGTTTCTTGGAAAGGGGTAGAGCGAAAGTATTTGATGATTCTATCACTATATGAAATGAGACTTTAATGGAAGAAAAAAGATTATGTTAAAGTAATTCTCTATTTTCTGTAAAATATTATGAGCTTATTCTGATATGTCACTCTAGTAGAGCCCTGCATTAGATGGACATGGACAGTTTTTTTAAATCTGTCCATGGACAAAAAAAAATTGTCCATGCAGGTCTCTAATTCTCATACGCAAAACGTATTTAAAAAACGCGAACATTTCATGGACAAACTGATGGACATGGACAGAAAAACACTTTTGTCCATGGACATGGACAAAAAAAAATTGTCCATGCAGGTCTCTAATTCTCATACGCAAAACGTATTTAAAAAACGCGAACATTTCATGGACAAACTGATGGACATGGACAGAAAAACACTTTTGTCCATGGACATGGACAAAAAAAAATTGTCCATGCAGGTCTCTACACTCTAGTCCATAGAATCTGGCTGTACATTTGCTTCCCTAAAATATTCATTAAAATGACTTTTTCAGGTTACTATGCTTGCATTAGATCCGCCATGACTAATAATCTCTAGAAAAGTATCAACAAATTATTTAACGCTCAAATAGTTTTCAAGTAAAACGCATTTAACAGAATCAAAACTTATTACTTATTTTACGTTTTTCTCAAGACTAATTTTTAGCTTCAAAGCTTTCGCCGCGTGCAGGAATTCTCGGTAACAATACATCCGAGAACGATAGTTTTTTTTCTATTTGTAGATAACACCTATCTAGGATTTGACAGAGTCCGATTTTTAAATTATGCTTTCATTTTTTATAGAAATGAGGATTTCTTAGAAACTTTCCAAGGATTTTTCGGATTTTAAAGTTCGATTATGCACCAGAAATCAGTAAATGTGAAATTCAAAAATCGGCTTCTGTCAACTCCTAGCCCTAGGTGTTTACTGCACTACAAAAAAAAGTCCAAGCTCCACCATTTGCCTGGAATGAGAATTCTTACACGTGGCAGGCGTCTATTTTTGGACATTGTTGTGGCGTCCTCATACGGACAGTTGCAAGTTGCACCAGACAAAAAATTTCGTTATCACTTTGACATGCTCAATATTCCCTGAAAGTTTGGTTCAGATCAGACCTACCTGAACTGAGATAGGTTTCTGACTTGGGTGAGCGTGGGGAGGGCTTAAAAACTATCCAGCTTACTGGAAAAGATAATAGTGAAATAAAGCTTAACCCTTCTAAACCTTTCTATGAACCTATTCTATTCATAATATCTCGTCTTATTTTAACTTTTGCGATAGTCGTGGCAACTTTTCATTCCATAACGACCATCAACTGACCAATGCATTGGTATTATTAGGAATTTTTTAGATAATGTCAAATTCTTATCACCTCGAAAATCGTGTTGCTATTGTAACAGGAGCTGACAGTGGCATTGGTCAAGGAATTGCTGTCTTATTTGCAAAATCGGGTGCCGATGTTGTGGTTACTTATCGTTCGGATGAAAAGGGGGCACAAGAGACGAGAAAACAAATTGAAGAAGCTGGAAGAAAAGCATTAGTATTACACTGTGATGTTGGCGATGAAAAACAAGTTCAAGAGTTATTTGATAAAACGTTAGAAAAATTCAAACGATTAGATATACTCGTCAACAATGCGGGTAAGAGAAATAACAAGTTATATCCGTCAGAATAATTAACGCATATTTGCTCTTTCTTCAGGTACAATGGGAAATGGTAAACCATTTTATGAGCAGACTTTCGAAGATTGGGAAAAAGTGATTCGTACAAATTTACATGGCCCATTTCTGTGTTCAAAATTAGCCGCTCAACAATTTATTAAACAAATCAAAGCGGAAGGAAAACAAGAAACAGAACAACGAGGAACACATCCAAGCGGAAATATTATCAATATTTCAAGTGTTCATGAAGATTCACCTGGTTTTCCTATGTATGAAACGGCTTGTAAGTTTTGTCAGTGCTTTTAACTTGCAAATATTTTAATTCTTTTTACCTACCAGAGTAATTAACGTTCTGTCTCTGTTTCTAGACGGCGTTTCAAAAGGCGGTTTACGAAATTTAACCCGTGCCATGTCACTGGAATTAGCTGAATACGGTATACGTGTAAACGATGTGGCTCCAGGGCTTATTCTAACGCCAATGAACCAAGAAGCTAAAGATGATCCAAAAAAACGTAAAGAAAAAGAAGCATTAATACCATTGAGACGTAGCGGCGTTCCTAAAGATATTGCCACGATGGTTACATGGTTATGTTCAGATGATGCAAGTTATTGTACAGGACAAACATTTTTTGTTGACGGTGGATGGATGTTATCTCGACCTGAAGTTTAAAAGAGAAACATGTGTCAGAGTTAGAATGTCAGCAGTGGTATAACTGTGTTATCTCAGCTTGTTAAATAAATAAACAGTGAAGAACTTTTTTTATCGTACGTCTAGTATTATATAGTGTGTTTCTCAGCCTATTGGAAAATTTGAAAACACAGACGCATTTAAAGCGCGAGCGAGCGCAAATTTTTTTAAAAAGACCAAAGATCGCACGCGCTTAAAATGCGTCTGTGTTTCCAAATTTTCCAGTGAGAGGCTATTAAACCATATACTTATCTAAAAAACGATATTTTTAACAAAAATTTAGGGTAGGAGCTTAATATTCAAATGTAATTGTCAGAATATTGACCATTCATATATTAAGACAAGCTCTGAGTTTAAAACAAGCTCTGAGTTTAAAACATCTGTAGCTATTTGAGGTGATTTATATTCTGTATGAAGAAGTAGATCATCGTCAAAAAGTCTGGCTGTCGATTTTAGATTAAGAACGATATCGTCAATCAATACGAGATTATGATGATTCTGATTGCTTTTGTTCGACATAGATGTTATAAAGTCAAGATAACAGAGAACACGTAAAAAGTTACTGTTTACATTAGAGAACTGTCATCGAAAAATCCTAAATAAAGCGGAACAATCCTAAATCCTGTATCGGCCTAACTTTTTTTCTTTCATTTTATTTCAAGGCAGATAATCTATCCGTCTTACTTCTAAGACCTAAGAACAAGATCTTATATTTGCCGTCTGAAGCACGAGAAATCATTCACCTCATTTGTTTCACGTTGACTACTTGTATATACAGAACAGAGGATTTAATAAAATATACAATGTTATCATTTTTCTCTTATAAAATATTAACAACTAGATTGTAACTACTGACCTGCTTTGATGAGCTTAGCTTAACATTCGAACTATTATGAAAACTAGACAGATAAATTTATCGATCTTAAAATAAGATTCCATAAGTCGATTGACGATTAGAGCAATACACAGGTTCCACAATAAAACTAAATACCGATTAAACTTGTTGTTGCACTTATAACGATCAAATTAAGCTGACCTATTTATATTCACTAATAAAGCTAATATTCTTAGTAACGTTATTATTTTTAAAGGTAAAAATATGATTTTCAACCAGAACACTGCGGTTCTATGGTGTAGCGGTAGCACTCTGGACTTTGAATCCAGCAACCCCAGTTCAAATCTGGGTAGAACCTTATTTCTTTTTGATGTTTTATTTTCTTCTTATCATACATACCATTCAAAAAACAAGTTTCTTATCTAAAGTAACTGAGAGTACTTCATGTCATATGCAGAAGAATTAGCGGAAGAAAGTCAGATTATATATACAGACTTGAATTAGCGCTGATAGATGATCTAGACTGCTGTCTGTACAATACTGAACAGCAATATTCGGCAACTTGAATATTTGTAATGTATTTCAAGAAAGTTTCAAATGAAGTGGTAGGCGATGAGCGAAAAGAAATTTTATCCATTTTACATAAGTGATGATGTTGTTTCGGCCTATTTTCCATTTCTTAACTATTCCAGATCAAATATGGCTGATACCATCAAACTCAAGAGACGAAAAGTGACACATTAGATAATGTTTTTAATGGTATTGAAAAACTATGGATCTAATTGGTAACAGTTTCCTGGCCATTTGATTGTATAGTTTCCTCATTTCTTTTCCTCTCTTCCAATGCACGGCCACTTGTGAATATCTGTGTTCTAGAGAAAATTTACTTGTGTTTATCGATTTGGGAGATATATTCGTTGTTCTGGAAACTCATATGTTCACACCATAACAGCCGAAAAAACTCGATGTTAGATTATATCACAGACAATAACGTACATATCAGAGCTGCATATAGACTCAAAACTGCGAGTCCAGTCAAGTTCAGTTCGAGTCCATGAAAACTAGGTTTCTAAGTCCATGAACTCTACAAAAAGTAGTCCATTCCAGTCCATAATACAAAACAAACTGTTCTTTATTGATTATTCCTCGATTCAAGTGCAACCAAAACTTTTTATCAAGTCGGAACCAGTCCACAGTAGTGAAACTTTGAGTCCAGCCTAGTTCAACTCCATGAACTCAAAAATTTTTCAAAAACTTTTCAGCCCAGTCAAGTCCATGTGAGTTGGACTGGTCTCGACTATGGACTCAGCCTAGTCCACATGGAGCTCTGGTACATGCACAATATCACATTCACATGTATGTTTTTCCAGAACAACGGGAAATACACCAGACTATGTTGATTCTATGATATTTTTGCGCAAAATCCAATGAAAAGTCACATTTTCTATTGTTATTTTTCCGCTTTTCCATTTTCAGGTACTGTTACAAAGTTGTACCGGTCTGAAAATTGCAACTTTGTACATCTCCAATACACACCCTGACAGATATGCATTGAAAGTTAAAGTAATCATAATCAGAGTTTGGTGAAAAAGCTCATGAGAAAAGTTTTAGACAAACTAGTGCACCTAGAGATGCAACCCGTTTCCGATCCAGTCGAGACTTATCAGCCGGCCGATTTGACCGATTCCAGCCAAACTGCTGAACCGGGTCCAATCGGCTTGGCTTATAATTAGAAAATATGAGAGAAAAAAGCATATTTAGTATCATTTTGTACTGTTCAAAGAAAGGATAATAGTTGTATTCATTATTTCTCTGCTTGAAATATTTTTCCGGTCTGTACGTAATGCGTGCATGTATTGACTAGTGTTCTTAGTCAGAAGTGGTTGGAGGAGGATTTTTCCTTTCTTTTGGCGATTTTGCTCAAAAATCATATTTTCGAACTACAGTTTTGACGCGCTATGGAAAATTTGTATGATTCGGTCAGAACCACACACTATGAGATCAGATATAGTTTATCTTAAAGCAAAATAATTCTTCTGTTACATCCGAACAAAGAAAGTAGAATAGCGCCATTTCGCTTCCTACACCACGACGGAGAAATCAAATTTTCCCTTTTTTTACTTTTAATAAAATTTCTTTAGTAACAGAGAAAAAGGTTTAAAGCCAACGTATGATACATGGAAAGAGAGGTGACATTCCAGACCACTAGAAAATACATTTTAATTCCACTTTACACACTCCGTCTTTATCGGACAATAATTGTTGACTTTGCGACAGCATAGATGTTTCTCTATGATCTTACAATTTGTCGCGTATCAAACTGTAAACCGATGAATTCATCTGGAATGAGATATTACTTCTATGTGTTGGAGCTTGTACTTGTTGCTAACACATATTGTACGGTACTAGGCAGACAGTTCTTAGTAAATTGAAATTATATATATATACTTCATAACTTTAAACTAAATCAACGAACAGCAGTGCGTGTAATCTCAAGTATAGAAATATAATCGTTACACACGTCAACTTATGTTGATTACTGTTTCTGCAATAGCCACATTAACAATCACGACTTTTTTAGAATACAAATATTTATCATTTCTCCACCGTTGTCAAGATTTTAGGTAAACTTTTTAACCTCATTAAATGTCGTATAACTCTTCTCAAGTTTCTTGCTTCTCCATTGTCGAAGTAATCAATGTCTATGTACCTGTATAAAAAAAACATCAGTGTTATGGTAAATGAAATATTTTTCCACTTTCTTCTGCGAACTATTGAATATTTGTAGTAGTTTGTGTGAAAAATCTTTGAAATCATAATACTTATTTTCCTAATGTGACAGTGGCCGATCTCGTTTTCTTTTTGTTTAAGCTATATTTATTGAGCCAGAGGAAAAAGTACAGCAGAAAAAAGAAAGGTGTATGAACCCATGATATCATTTTTGACTGTGTTGATGATGTTACATATGTGTGTACTATAAAAAAACAAAAGAGAGATAGCAGAGAATATGGTTGTTGTGATGTCGTTGTGCTTGTGAAATCAAATTCATCTCAAGAAAATTAAACATGCAAGAACGATAAACAAGTCGAGTTTTCGGTTGTTATTTAAGTGGAAATATTGGCTTGTTTATCTTCGTTGCATGTTAATCGGCTTTTTTGTTTTAATCTGTTGTTTATCTTATTTTCTTCATTAATTGTCTTATTCGTTACACTCTCACTAAACTTCCTTTTGTCATTTAGTTCTGCCACCTTCTTCCTCAGATGACTATTCGTCAGTGGATGTACAATACCGTACTCGTACTGTACGGTCAAAGTACATAAAGTTAGTTCACCACTTCGACCGGTAATATGACTCGTTTGAATTAGTGAAATATTAAAACAGAAAATGGCCTGCATAAATGAGATTATAGTTAATTTTGATGTAGAATCATTATATCCAAGTATACCAGTGGGAGGGCCAATTGATATTGCAGTCAACAAAATAATTGTCCCGCAAAGACAAACAAAAGAAAAGTTCATGATAATGACAAAAACTGAATTATATATTTTGTTTAATTTGGCATCGAGTAATATTCAAATTTGTTTTCGTCGGCTAATTTCTCGACAGGACAATGATTTCTCGATGGGCAGTTCCTTCTTACAAAAACTAGCTAATTTTTTTATGGAAAAACCTGAAAATACATTAACATCTGATAACGATCTTCATTCACAACTAAAATTCACATTCAAAATAGAGAAAGATGGTGCATTAGCATTTCTAGACGTACCAATAATGAAATAAAATGACAAATATGAAACAACTGTTTATAGAAAAAAAACAAAACGAACCTGTATATGAAATAGGATTTTAGTTCACCACGTTATCAAAAAATTGGCCTAATTAAATCGTTAGTCACTAGAGCCCTTCGAATCTCCTCAAATCAAGAATTATTAGATACTGAACTAACATGGCTAAAACAAGTCTTGAACGAGATTGGATATCCAAGAGTTCTTCTAGTAAAAATAATTGAACTAACAGTGAAAAAGAATACGCATAAAGATAGTAAAAACAGTCTTCAATGCAGACTAATGGGCAGGAGAAAGGTGATACAAATATTTCTTTTTTCTATCTAGGAAAAGGATCGCGGCAACTCATCTCCACTCTCAAA